ATCATAACAGGGAGTGAGAGTGAAATTTCACACAGCTCTGAAGCACTTCCTATAATAAGGGCTAATGGCTGCAGACCAGGAAAATGCTAGGCTCAGGGTGACTTTCAAAGCTCATGTGCTCTCTCTCTCCACCATGATCTGAAGACATCAGACATAGTCATTAGCACAAACCAAAGCTTTGTTTGTCCCCCAGACTATTCTGGCCTTCACAATCTCAGGATTTGGCCTAGATTTGTTCTATCAGTTGATATTTATACAGTAAAGAAAAAAGTTGTGATGGTAATAATAACACCAGTGGGCACTTTTTGACCACATATTGTGTGGCAGGCACGAGGCAAAACTTTTCAAGAATTCTGTCATTTCATGCTCTCCACAAAACCCTCTCCCTTTTATTAAGAGCATATTTTTACATAAGAAAACTGAGGCTCAGAGAAGTTAAGTGTCTCATCTAAGAGCACACAGATAATGGTCAGGGAGACAAGATTTGAACTCATGACCCAGTCTTTAACCATAATGCCTCCCTTTCAGGTCTCTACTGCAAACGTTCATTTAGTTAAAAATTGTGGTTCAGGGAAATGGTTTCTGAAATCTCCCTCCTTGGGGCTTTGCATATGGTGTTCCCTCTACCTGAAATGCTCTTCCTCTCCCCCCTGAGCTGTTCAGTCCGCTCACTTTCTAGATGTCAGTTCGATCATCTTTTCTTCAGGGACACCGTCCCTGATTTCCTCAACAAGATCAAATCCCTTATATGTTCTCTCAGAGTACAATGTACCTTTCCAGGGTTTACTTGCCATTTTACGTATTATTGTGTGATTCTTTGATTAATCATAGATCAGGATCCTCTATTAGTGAAGAATCCCATAAAGGGGGGACTGAATCTGTTTTTGCTCATCCCTCAATCCACAGCACCCAGCGGAGCCCTGGCCCATAGTAGATGTTTTTTGCATATGTGCTTAATTATTTAATAATTAATGAGTGAGAGAGTGAATGAAATAACTAGAAATATATGTCAACATCAAGATTAGAAATATGAAGATGGGGAAATGCCATAAAAGACATAAGGGAATTGAGTAATTGTCTCTAAGGATGGATTAGGAAAGGAAAAGGAAATTAATATTTTGTTATAACTATGTCATCATCTTTTAAACTGTGTACTTGTATCACTTTGACACAATAAAGTCAATTTTTAAAATAAGATCATAAAAACTAAAAGTAACCACCTACTAGAATTTTTTTTTTTAATAATACAAGAAGAAAGGGAGGGAGAGAAGGAACTTTCCAAACAGAATGGGGCAGAAATGTCAGTGAGGAGGCATCCTGGAGAGCAATCCATGTAGTTTGAAGGATCTGGGTGCCCACAGTCTAATTCTGAGAAAAGTAATCATTGGGATACCTTGTTCTTTAAGTTATGGTGGCTAGAGCCTGTGTGTTGGGTACAAGTCAACCCTGCAGCCACAGCTACACCTGATTGGACCCGGAATCGGTGCTCAAGTTAAAGACAATCACATGAGGAAGACCATTAATGACACTCTATCCAATAGAAGTAGTACTTATTTGTTAGTGGAAAATCCACCCAGTTAGATCCTCTCTTGGAAAGTATGACTACCAGGTATTGGTTCTGACCTTGAGACACATGGTGGAATTGAAGGAGGCCTTCTGTGAAATTGTATGCAAAATAAATTTTCCAGGTTACATAGCTTTGATCAGACTATCCAAGGAATCTGTGGTGAAAAAAGGTTAAGAACTAGTAGATAAGCAAAGTAAACTTAAAATTTTTTTTAATTGCAAGTTTCCATATAAAAATCTAAATTTCCAATGTCTGTTGCCCAAGATACAGTACACAGAGCCTGTAATTCCTCATGGTAATGACGGCCCAGAGCTGAGTTACAGTTGTTCCCTCTCCATGGGGCATGTGTTCTCCAACTCACCATCTCCCCACCATGCTTACATTTTCCTGACTCAGATTGCTTCACTTGTTGAAATTTCAGTAATTTCAATTATTGAGCCTGAATTATTGAACCAGTTATGGACCCTGTGAACAGTTGAGTTTGCACCTCCTAGCTGTCAGCAAGTAGCTAGTTCTGACTAAAATGTGAGTGGCTGATATGTTAGCTCCATTTTTTCTTTTTTTCAGTAGAAGCTTATTAAGCCCATTAAAACCCCTAAAGATAGAATTCATAGGAGAAACATTTTTTTTAATCCCTCTGAGGCCATGCTTATACTCCCCACTGTCCCTCCAATTCAGGTTGGACCAAAAGAACAGAAATCCAGTTCCAGGCTCTGTACCTCCAAAAGAATTTTTATCTTCCATAGACTTTCCCAGATTTCTCTGCATTCTATTTTTTTGTTGTTTTGATTGGTTTTTGTTTGATTTGGGAGGTTTTGTCTTGTTTTTAGACTTTGGGGGATGTTTTCTGATTTTTTGCGGGGAGTTTTAAGGGTTTTGTCCCTTTTTGTTTTTGTTTTTTTAAGACTCTTGTTGGCTGCTGGCAATCATGGTTTTGCCTCTCAAAATAATATTGGCCTCTAACAGAACGAGAAATCAGCAGCTCCCTCTGATTGACACAAACTTTTGAAAGCTTCTGTTGTCCTCCCTGGCTCTTAAGTAACCACAGACAGCCACTATTGCTGGGGTCACACTGAGAAAACCCCTGTTACCTTCGCATAATGAAATGCTGCACAGTTTGAAACTGTGTCATGCTGGGCCCATTTTCCTAGCTGCTTAACATCTGCAAAGGGACAAAGTGACTTTGAATTGAAGGGTGGCAGTGAGAAAAACAAAGGCATCCAATGTCAGAGTCTATAATGTTCTTTATACTATAAGTTTGACTTCCACTGTAACTCAGAAGGGGAGAGAGATTTCTTGCTTGAGGCTGTGTCTAAGAGACTGAATCTGTACTTTACTTGAGTCGATTACATTTGATTCAGTACTTCCTGGGCATCATTATGTGAAATGCAGTACTTCTGACATGTGGGGATGCAAAGATGAGGAAGACAGAACCACAGCTCTCAAAGAACTTGAAATTTAGTAGGGGAAATCAGACAAAAACACAAAGAATTATAACACATATGGTTGCCATCTAATCTTTCCTGCCAAGCATTTATTCCCAGTTTTCTTTAAACACCCCATGCTCCCAATCTCAACCTATTGGATCCCCTGAGCCAGCCCCCATTATTCCTACTGCCTCCTGAAGGATTAAGTTCTAATTACATTATCTGAGCTCTGGATCCAGCCATACCTGAAATCCTGTCCCTTAGTCTTTTCCAAACCTTGAAACTATATAAAGTCCCTTTCAAATTTTTTAATCTTTTGGCCTAAACTGGTTTAGATTATTTCTTTTACCTGATAGAGCCCTGACTAATTAAAATATGTACAAATGCTCCTATTTATAGTACTTCATCTTCAAAACAATCCTTTAAGACCTTTAAAAGAGAAGAGTTCAGAACCCTGAAGAGGGTAAGACCAGTGTGAACACTGTCAGTTTTATAGTGTAATGTAACCAAGGCTTCCTAAAGAAAATCCTTCCCTCTACCAAATTATCCAGGGCCAGACCTGAGCTTTAGGGTGTTGAGAATTCCAAGGCTGATCAGTCAGTAGAAAAGTGTGAACTTGACAGCAGGAAGACCTATCAGGAAGGAGTGATAAAACTTGTCTAGGCAAAAAGGCCTAGAGCAGTGCTTCTCAAGCCTTAATATTTATATGAATCAGCTGGGGATCTCATGATCCCTAGGGTCTATTTGAGTAGGCCTGGTGTGGGGCCTGAGACTCAGCATTTTCAGCCAGCCCCCAAGTGGTGATGTTCCTGGACCAGGACCACACTTTGAAAAGCCAGTGGGAAGGGTGGGGTGGTGCTTAGACCAGCGCAGTGAACAGCCAGAGGTGTTACTGAACATGTGTTTTGGATTCATACAGTACTTTTTTAATTAAAACTTTTTGTTATGCTAGTTTCCTTATTTGTAAATGCTTGAAATATTTCGTTATAAAAAGTGTTTTTAAGTTTGAACTAATTGCCGAAATTTAACTGATTTTATGGAAATATCTCACTTTCCGGCTCCAGGGAATTAGATAATCTGGCCATGCTGGGCCCACAGTCCTGCCTGGCAACCATGAGTCTTGCTGGTAGGTATCCAGTTAGCCCCACAGCCCATCCACTCAGCACAGCACAGAGGTTAGGAGCCTGGAATCTGGACCCACCCTGCCTAGGTGACCATCCTGACTTTGCACTTCCTACCCATGTGATTTTGGGCAAATGACTTTCACCTTGCTGTGCCTGTTTGCAGATCTGTGAATGGGAGTTGATAGCAAGTAGCCACCTCAGGGTGTGGTGAAGATTAAATAAATGAGTATGTGTCAAACTCTTTAGACAGTACCTGGCACACAGGTGGGACCAGGTAAGAGTTGAAATTATTATTTATCTGCTGGTCTACACACACACACACACACACACACACACACACACACACACACACACGAGATGTCCACTGTCTCTTTCTGAGTCTCCCCTCTTCCTACTCCTTGAACAAGGCGTAAGTGGGGAGGTGGGGGGTAGCTGTTTCCAGGCAGTCCCAGGGACGGCTGGAAGGTGCACATCCCGCGTTCTGCGGCTACCCCGGCGACGTGTTATTCCCCTGCCAGCCTAGAGAGGAGGGACACTGCTGAGGTAGGTGGGAGGCCGCTGCACCCCGAGGGACCAGTCGCATCCGACGACCACCTGTTTTCTGCGCCCGGATGCAGCTGCAGGGACCCGCCCCCCAAAACCATGTCGGATCCCGCACGTTTGGCGCCGTCTCCCCGCCGTCCAACTCTGTGGCCGCCCCACCCCCACTTCTAGCTCATCCTCCAGCTCCAGCAGCCCATCCCGAGGACAGCGTCCTGCATGTGTCCTCCTCCCCGCCCCCGACCACCCCCCACGACCTTTACCCAGTGCAGGCGGCCGCTCAGGGCAGGAGGCAGGGCCCGCGGCAGCCAGCCCCTTCCCCACGGCCCCTGCCCTGCTCACCTTACCCGCCCGCAGCGATGGGGGACCGGCTGTTCTCCTCGTCAGCCTCCAGCGGTGTCGCCTCTGCGACCGCCGCCACCACCGCAGCAAAGCCACCTGCGCGTGACCCTCGATCACCAACTCCCCAACCCCCCCACCGCCCCCACCGCCCCAACACACACGCGCCTGCTCTGCCCTCAAATGCGGGAGCAGAGGATCAGGAGCAGCTCATAAAGGGCGGATGAGACAAACTCAAGGGTCATGAAGACCACCACCCCTCCTCTATCCCCCACCAGCACCGGCCAGAACAAAAGTTGTCTCTGCAGCTGGGTGTCTGGCCCACAGAGCCCTTTCCTCCCTCCCCCATCCAATCACTCACTCATTCCCCTGAAGCCCAAATGCACAGTGGTCTTCAGCCCCTGGGGGATTTGCACTTGCTGTCCCTCTACCCAGAACACTTTTCCCCTCTCCTAAGGATCAAAGGAAAATCAAGGCAGGTGCAGTTGAGCCCCCGGAGTCAACCCTCATCTCTAGTCCCTCAAGGAACCATGGGCTCCGGAAGGTGCAGTTTTTAATGGGTGACTTTAATGGTGCCTACAGTGGACTTTCAGCCAATTTATTTAACCCCTTTGTGCCCAAATGAGACAGTCATTGTTGGAAGTATCAAATGCATTGTTTTATGTAAAGTGCTCAGAATACAGGAGGCACTTCATAATGTTAGCTGTGATTATTGTCTGCTTGATACAGCCTGACACCCATCCCCAAAGCTGCAGTAGAACAAAACATCTTTCCAGTGGAAATCATCCCATTTTTTTTTCCTTAAGGCAAGTGATGTAAATCACAGGATTGTGGCCAAGTGGGGCCTGCAGATACATCGTTTTATTTAGTTGGTGTTTTACAAGTATGTGAATTAATTGCCAACACTTAGAAGCTAAGAGATCACATAAATATGGGGATTTTCAGTAACTGAAAAATAGGAAGTTTAGGCCTACCTGAATCCACTTTCCCAGGGGCAGGAGCCCACAAGCAGTGGCTCTTTAAAGAGGTGTTTGGGTTTCCTCTGATCGTTCACAGTTTCCACAAATCTCACCTCACTCATTTATAAGATCTTGGCCCCTGCAGACCTTTGAAATTTGGCCTAAGCCTAATGCTGAGTTTTGTTCAGTCTCCCCAAGAAGTAGCTTTCATTATCCCCATTTTACAAACAAGGAGACTGAGGCTTAGAAAGGTCTAATAAATTGCCCAAGGAAGGTCACAGCAGCTGAGGAACAGCAAACCTGAAATTCAAACCCAGTCTTTAAGCCCCAAGAGCCTTAGCGTGGTAAGGGGAAGATAAAGGGGAAAAAGTGGTTTACACCAAACCATCTTTTTGAAAGGAGCATTTTTATTAATAGCACACTTTGAATGCCAATTTGTTGGGATTGTTTAACAATAATTTAAATTTTAAGCTTTATCTAAATTGGCAGGGCCCCCTCTCACACTCACTCCACCTCCTTATTTTTCCTATTTAAGCACTTTGAAACATGCTAAAGGTCTAACTAAAATAAAAAATGTTTCCTATTTCATCCATCCCTAGTTACTGGCAACTGTAGGTGTTCTTCCCTTTCCATTTCTTTTTTTTAGCTTCTTTATTTATATTTTACTCTTTGTAGTTTGTAAATTCCCTCTTACCAGCTGCTTGCAAAATCAAAACGTCTTTAATGTTAGGTTTCCAATTATGGCCATGCAGCCTTTGGGCTCAAACACATATGAAAAGAAATACATGCTTATGCCTATACACACCTATATATACACACTCCCACCTCTCATAGGGTCTTAGTGCCTCTCCAGATCTCATTGTTCCAAAGCGTATTTATAGATCTTAAACTCAAATACCAAAGTCTCTAACAGCATAATTATCCCTTTCACATGAGTTTTAGAAGACGTTTGTAGCAACCATTAGCCACAAAAATGATCCTGTATTATTATCCATTTATGCATATTAGCAACTAGTTTAAAAGAATTTTTAACACAGTGGAGACAACCCTCACCCCCAGAAAAGAGATACATATGCAGGCCAGAGGCAGCCAGCTTATGACTTCTGTTCTCCATTTTTAGGGCAAGCCAAGTACCTAACTCTTTGAGGTCAGTGGGGAAAGCTCTCCCCCTTGATGCTTTTCCCTCTTCCCTGGCCTCTTTGAAACTCTGCAGGGTTAACAAGGTAGTTGTTAATCATTCCACTCCATCTGATTACTCTGTGGGGTGGGATGGGTGGGTGGGCAGAGGAAGAGGGAGGGGTTTCAGAGCCTACAAAGTGGAGAAAAGGAGGTGGTAAGAGGTCCTCACTGTGGTCTAACTTCAGCCTCCAAACCTCTTTAGCTGTTACTCAAAATGTGGTCAATAGACCCCAGCACCAGCAGCACCTGGAGCTTGTTAGGAACGCAGATCCCTGGACCCCGACCCCAGACTTACTGAATCAGGCTCTCTGGGTAGGCTCCCAGGGAATCCATGGTTTAGCATGTCCTCTAGGTGATTCTCATGAGTACTAAATCTTGAGGCTAACCTCCTCCTGAGAGCTTTTTTTTAATTTCTCTCCTGAATGCTTTTATGCTAAAGTAATCTGTCTCTTTCTCCACCTTAAGTCACACTGTTGATATGTTGGGGGAGCGTTGTGTGTCTTCCTCAGTTCTTGTCCCCGCCGCCACAAAGAATTGAAGGACAGAAACACAGTAATGAAGCAGAGTAAAAGGTTTATTTGAAGTTACTTAAAGAGAAAAAAAGTGCAGCAGGTGAACGTCAGGGAGGAAAGGCACCTTGAACGGTTTAAGTTTTACTGAAAAAGAGAAAGTTCACGCACTTAGAAAGTGTGGACGACCTCAGAGAGAGGAGCGCACTGAAAGGTTTAAGGTCTGGGGTTTATAGGCAGTTGAGGATTTTCAGGGAAGTGACCAAGGGCTGGGTGTGGACCTGCCAAATGGTCTCAGAATGTTCATCTTTGATAAGACATTAAGTTGCTTTTCTTTTCTTTTAATTTAACACAAAAAATATACTCCTTTGATTGCTTTCCAGGATATCAGCTTCTGTCTGGAAGCATATTAATCAAGACTGCTTGCCTCCACTGTGCATTGAGCCACCATCCGTTTGCTTAAAATGCAATCTTAGCTTTAAGACAGAATTCTTCCTAAATAGGCTGGGCCTTTGAGCAGGCTGAAGTGTTGGGGGAGTGTTGTGTATTTTCCTCAGTTCTTGTTCCCACCACAACAAAGAACTGAAGGGCAGAGACACAGTAGTGAAGCAAAGTAAAAGTTTTATTTAAAGTTATTTAAAGAGAGAAAAAGTGCAGCAAGCAACCTCAGTGAGGAGAGCCTCCCTGAAAGGTTGGAGAGAGAGAGTGTAAAGTTAAAAGATTACACGCTTAAAGAAGACAACATAGGCAAAAATTCCTGAATATAAGTTCGAGCAACTTCTTCCTGAATGCATCTCCTCCAGCAGGGATATCAAAAGCAAAAATGAACACATGGGACTACATCAAACTAAAAAGTTTCTCTATGGCAAAGGACACCATCAACAAAACAAAAAGGCATCCTACAGTATGGGAGAATATATGTGTAAATGACATATCCGACAAGGGATTAACATCCAAAATATATAAAGAACTCACACACCTCAACACCCAAAAAGCAAATAACCTGATTAAAAAATGGGCAGAGGACATGAAAAGACAGTTCTCCAAAGAAGAAATTCAGATGGCCAACAGACACATGAAAAGATGCTCCACATCACTAATCATCAGGGAAATGCAAACTAAAACCACAATGAGATATCACCTCACACCAGTTAGGATGGCCAGCATTGAAAAGATTAAGAACAACAAATGCTGGGGAAGATACGGAGAAAGGGGAACCCTCCTACACTGCTGGTGGGAATGTAAGCTAGTTCAACCATTGTGGAAAGCAGTACAGAGGTTCCTCAAAAAACTAAAAATAGGAATACCATTTGACCCAGGAATCCCACTTGGAAGTTACCCAAAGAATACAACTTCACAGATTCAAAAAGACATATCCACCCCTATGTTTATGGCAGCACTATTTACAATAGCCAAGATATGGAAGCAGCCTAAGTGTCCATCAGTAGATGGATGGATAAAGAAAATGTAGTACATATACACAATGGAATACTATTCAGCCATAAGAAAGAAACAAATCCTACCATTTGCAACCACACGGATGGAGCTGGAGGACATTATGCTCAGTGAAATAAGCCAGGCAGAGAAAGACAAGTGCCAAATGATTTCCCTCATTTGTGGAGTATAACAACAAAGCAAAACTGAGGAAACAAAATAGCAGCAGACTCACAGACTCCAAGAAGGGACTAGTGGTTACCAAAGGGGAGGGGTGTGGGAGGGAGAAGGGGATTGAGGGGTGTTATGTTTAGTACACATGGTGTGGGGGATCACTGGGAAAACAGTGTAGCACAAAGAAGGCAAACAGTGAATCTGTGGCATCTTACTAAACTGATGGACAGTAACTGCATTGGGGTATGGGTGGGGACTTGATAATATGGGTAAATGTAGTAACCATATTGTTTTTTCATGTGAAACCTTCATAAGAGTATATATCAATAATACCTTAATAAAAAATAAAATCAGAAATTAAAATTAAAAAAATTAAAGTTTACGTACTTAGAAAATGCAGGTGACCTCAGAGAGAGGGGATCCCTGAAAGGTTGGGGGAATCCCCCTTTTAAGGATTATTTAGGAATGTGACTGAGGGCTGGGGGTGCAGACTTGTTAATAGATGTCTGATAATTAGAATTAACACAGGAACTTCCTGCTCTGATTTCTCCCTGGGATACCAGCATCTTCATCCGGGAGCATATCAAACAAGACTGCCTGCCCAGCCCCCAGGGTGGGCTGAATTATTGTCTGCTTGCTAGAGTAAGTTAAGAATCTGACTTCTCAACTTCTTGAGTATTAAAATAGAATCTTTAAAATAGAATCCTTCCTGCCTTTTACTATGTGGTTCACTGCTGGGCTTGCATGCTAAATTAGTTGCCTCAGTTGCAAACTACTTGATTAGGGCTGAAGGACAAAAAAAACAGCATATAGGTAAAGTTAAAAAATAAGCTGGGCCTGCATGATTAACACAATAAAAACATTGGCTATGCTGAGGTACCTCCTTTATCTGGGGAGTATTCAAATATTCCAGGCCAAGTTGCTACTGGCTTTTTGAGCTTTAACTGATTAGCTCTGGGTTTTCCTGGCCTTATTCTCTTTCCACCCTGCTCATATCTATTTTCCTGCCTAACGAAAGTAAATCTTATAATGGCATATTCTAATTGACACAGTGAAAACATAAACTATGCTGCGATACTTTTCCTTATCTAGGAAGTATTCAAACTTTTAGGCCAAGTTACTCCTGGCCTTCAAGCTTTTTATTTTTAACTGGTTAACTCTTTGAGTGTCTTTTAGTGGGCTTGCTGGCCTTATTGTCTTTCCACCCGACTCATATCTATTTTCCTGCCTAACAACAC